AATGGTCTCGTCGTAGTTGTAGTCGTAGTCGTAGTCGTAGTCGTAGTTTTCTTCCAAGCCAACACCGCAAACGTCCCCTGTGGCCATTTTCCTTCTTCTTTCTGGGAATACCTTTTTTTTTTTTTTTTTCTTTTTTTTTTTCTCGATGTGATGCCTTCTCGTCACTAAAAATAAGACGTCTCATTTTACCCAATTCCGTTCGCACTGTCTGTCACATCGCTTATCCTTTCTAGACAGGACGACTGACGAATGCTTAAGCCTCCCACTCTTCCCCCCCACCCACCCACTCACCCACCTCGTACTCGTCGTTTCACCTTTTGTGTTTTCCTTCTCACTTTCTCTCTTTCTCTGTCTCTTTTGTATTTTCTATCTCTCTCCTTTCCTATTCCCATTTTTCTACCAGCTAGAATCGATGTTTTCGTCCTATTTTTCACGTGAGCTTTCTCGAGGAAACTCCTCGTGTTCGGATATGCCAGTGCTAACAAGGGATTTTACTACTTCAATTTCAGTCTGAATTGTGCTGTCCTGTTACTACTGGACGTTGAAAAATATCTTCTACTATTTCTTTTTCTTCTTATTATTTTTCTCATTTTTAATCTTAATTTATTGTGAAAGAATTTTGTACAGTGTTAATAAATATGTTTTAAAAATAAAATTTGATTGATATTTAATAAATAATGATTGTAAATAATTATCTGATGCGAATCGTCTATCTATTAGCGAATACTATATTTGGTATTATATATTAGACGACGCATAAAATCGAGTTACTAGTGTTGGGTTCGCTTAAAACATTTCCAGACTGTCTGGAAGTTCGTCATTTCGTATTCTCTCTATGGTATCTGGACTCAATGTACGGCATAATTTTCGTCACTCCAACGTGATTCGCATATTCCGTTATAGCTCTCAGGGAAATCTCATTTCCGTGTGCATTTTCATGTCGAAGGAATGTATATACACATATATATATTATTTCCTTCTTTGACGTAGGAGCATTCAACCCTTTCTACGAATTGAAATATTCTTATTATTTTTTTATTCTTTATTCTGATTTCATTTATATATACACAGTGAAACCTTTTCCTATAACGTTATAATATTATATGGGAACCACGTTGAGTGATACTCGGAAGTAAGTAAAATCACTTGTTAATCAGTTTAATCAGAATATCCTCTTATGGTCGTAGGAAGATCACATTGATAATCTCATTGTCAGCTACGCAAATATCTACTCGATTTTATCTATTATCTTTTATATTTCGTTATACTATATACCCCGACCCCTTTTCGATTTGTAATATTTTTAATATTTCCTTTTTTTTTTTCAATTTATTGTATAATACTTAGATATATAATAAATTATTGTGTAAAGAAACAATTGTATATTCATTGTGGTATTCCCATTTTATTCTTGGCTTTGAATTTTTTTGGGGAGGGGGGAAATATTTCACCTATAAAGTGTCTGTGTGAGAAAAATTGTGTATCAAATTTTTATTTATAAAGTCAAAAGAGAAAGAAAGAAAAAAAAAAAAAAGAAACAAAAATGTGTATATTCAAGTACGTCGCGACTGTTATAGCATTTCCTTCATTGTGTTCCTTTGGAAAGATTCCACTTGCTGTTGTCGCTATTATGAGAGCAATAACTCCCTCTCGACATCTGGTGCAGCGACAAGTGTTACAAATGTCCCTTTTCCTGGCATCCTTCTTCTAACTTTTTCTTTGTCCTTATTTTCAAGCCCTATTATCTATCTAAAAAGAGATCATTATTATATTTAATATTTCTCAAATTAAACAAGATATTGCAAATTGATCCTGTATGTAACGTCGTGTGTGTTTTCATTTAAAATAAATAAATATATCTCATGTCAGTTAAATTGATATTAAAAATTTGCCACGACAAACCTTATCAAACTTAACTTTGCAAAAGACATACACGAAACTTTGATAATATTCGAATTCATTAATGTCACTATGTAAAATCAATTAATCGTTCAATGTGTAATACGTTGAAAAAGTTAATCGTTTATTTATCACATACGCTAATTATCAAGTCACATAAATTATCTTAAATTAATATGAACATATTATGCATCGTCAGATAATATTGAAGTTTAGCAATCTATTAGCATATTTAGAATACTTAATAGATATAACCGTGAGAATGTGGATCGAACTTTATTAGTATGTATGCTAAGGTGTAACGGCTGTCATCCCTTACGATAGTGACTTCACTAGGAAGTCTGTGGAACTTATGGCAGAACTTTCTAAGTTCATGCTTTAATACACGAACATTTCCGAATCCATCCAGGTTGAAGTTGGGTTCCCTTTGGAAGGTATCAAATATAAGATGACTTTCCTACGTCTTTCACATAAGTTATCTCGTTAATAGGAAATAACTTTGATATGATTTATATAATAATAATAATAATAATAATAATAAATCATGAAAAAAATTCATACGAAAAATGAATGATTAATTATTACGCGAATATTTTACTAATGTAATATTTAGATTTATTTTTAAATGATACTTAACGAATAGAATTTGATTATTCAAATATCGTATAAGTACAATTTTTGAGAGTTAAAGATTATGGAATTAACTTAACCACCAGGTAACATATTCAATTATATGGACTATGCTTTAAATTTTATTGTTAAAATTTCGTTGAAGTATCATAATAGAACAGTAGTAGTAGTAGTAATAGTAGTAGTAATAGTAGTAGTGATAATAGAAACGTTTCGGTAGAACCAAAATAAAAAGTAATTTTTTTTGGTCGCAAGAATTACTTCTTCCGCAAGACTTTCGGCGAATGCATTAAAAGAAATATCGCCAACCCCGCTAAGAATTTATTTCTACTTTAACCAAGGAACTTACCTCACGGACTACGTGAGTAATTACTCGAGTAAACCATTCTCTCTTCCGAACAGTAGGTACTTTCTTCTTCTTCTTCTTCTTCCGTTGCGTTACCCTTTTATATCTTTCTTGAGTTCGTGTTATTACGTGAAAGAAAACGCACTTACTTAAGATAGAAAAAGGTTAGTAGATAAGACATGTGGGAGGGGGTTGAAGAAATTTTGATGATGGAACAAGAAGTAATATCACCTGTTCCTCTTGTCATCGTTATTGTCCTACTAAGAATTCTAACTTTTTTTATAAAATTGAGCCTGTACCATCCTCTTTAGGCTACATTTTTTTTAATTTATTTATTTTATATTTCAAACTTATAATTAACAGACAAAAATAAGTATAGATTTTTGTTTCACGGAAACATTAATATATTTTTGTTAAAGTTATAACTTAAGAAAAAAAGAAATTAAATTAAATCGTATTCTTGTAGATGTATAATTGTTTTACCAAGTTCAGTATATAATACACGAGAACACATTTTTATTTCTTTCTATATTTTCTTTTCTTTGTTTCCCTTGGTAACTTTTTTGGAAAATTCGTGGACAAATAAGTTAAAAGATCCCTGGTCATAAGTGGAGAGTGAAGATAAAAAAAGAAAATGATAAAAGAGTCGAATAGCTTAGGATAAAAGTTTGACTGTCGACGTGCTTTGAAATGAATGTGCTTAGAAAATGGGGATGAGGATGGGAATGAGGATGGGGATGGGGATGGGGATGGGGATAAGAGTAAATGTGTAAACGAAGATACCATCGTATGGTGGACAGACTGTTGAGACCGCTAACTCACGTCGTATAATCGCTAATGAGATTAATCCGCGCCAACGCGAGAACAGACACGAAAACCATAATCACGGAAGACCGGTTTCAGAAACTCTAGTTGCTGAAACTCGACGAGTAGTGTAACAATGTAACACCGAGGGAATTGTTTTCTTCTTCTTCTTTCTTTTCAATTTTCACGGGACAGCAATACAGAACAAAGTGTAACAGCGATATTACTCATTATTCTTCGTACTCTTTTCGTTTTCTTTCCTTCCTCTCATTTTCTCCTCATTTAGTATTTTTTTTTTCTTCTCTTTTATTTCTTTCTTCGTTTCCCCCAGCCCACCCCCGTTGTTTGTTTATTTGTTTTTTCTTTTTATTTAAAAATCGTGACAACAATTTTTGCACCCATTCCGAGTGAACACTTTGTCATTGTTCTTATTGGTTTGGGATCGTTTCATGTCGATCGATCGAAAAAAAAAGGAAAAAAAAAAGTAGAAAGAAAAGTGGAAAAAATGAGGGAGGACAAACTTATAAAGTATGAGAGAAAGTAAGTTTTTTATTCAATGAATTGACCGCACCTTATTCGGTACGTGCCCCCGATAGCTTTCTCTTCTATCGTCGTAGGTTTTCTTCTTTTCTTTTCTTTTCTTTTCTTTTTTCTTTTCGTTCGGGATCGACTTAAACTCAGCCAGCTTCCTCCATTATGTTCTCTCAATCCATCCTGTTCGGCCTACGTGAGAAAGAATACGAAGGAGGGTGCAAAACCAACCGGAAAATTACAAGTTTTTCCGCGAGACCGAGAGGGAGTTACGCGCGACGCGTTTTCGAAGATGAATATAACTTATCTACCCGCAACTTTACGATGAATGATACTTTATAACTTTTCATAGAAAAATTGCACGCGTGCTTTTCCGTTAAGGCACAACGAGAATTATAATATGAAAGATATATATCATTTTAACGTGCCATAAAAAGACAGACACACACACAAATATTATATATATGTTACCATGAAAAAAGACTAAAATTTGAGACTGTCAAGATTCATTCACATGGTCGTTGCTTGTCAACACATAACCAAATACTTTTGCGAAATATCGAATATTATTTCGGTTCATTCTTATAAATTAATATATTTCGGACATACGTCAAACGATCATCTGATTTTTGACAACAGTAAGAGAAAAGATACGAATTTTTATTTTTGACTAACTCGAAAGATGATTAAAAAAAAAAAATAAAAAACCCATTGGATACGATAAATGTAAAAGAAATGAAAAATCTTGACAATTGATATATTATGTGACATTTGTTTTATTTTATTACAGAAGTGGAAAGGAGTGTACTAAGTGGTGGAGCACCGGGGTCGTCGGGTGGTACAGCTGTAGGGGGCCCTCAGGGTTTGGCAGGGTCTCCTGCACCCTCGCCTGCCCCCTCGACACCCACGACCCCTGCAGCTACTAGCCCTTCGGCTTCCACCTCCCCGGCCTCTTCAGTTTCATCTTCACCTTCGCCCTCATCCTCGCCAACCTCCGCCCTTATTGCGGGATTCGATAAATCGGTGCTTCAGGTAAGATCACCCATTGTTATATTCACGTATACTCGAACCTATCGTAACCCTTTACTCTCTCTCTCTTGCTCTCTCAACCCTTCTGTTTCATACTCCATTTATTTTTCCTTTATCGTTCAGAGGGAAAAAGGAAAGAAAAAAAAACCCGCATATTTCGTTTGAAATAATCGTTAAATTTAATAATTATTTGCATCTCGTATAAATGAAGCTTCGAAATAAGTGATAAGTTATGGTTGAAAGTTTAAAACGCGTGTTCTTTAATCTTCAAAGCTAGCTTTTGCCAGATAAAAGAAGAGAATGTTCTTTTTTTTTATTTTATTATCTCTGTGCGTTTTACTTTCTCTCTTTTTCTCTTTATTTTTCCGTTCCTTGTTTTCGTAGAAAAATTTCAATTTTGTTGCTATAACGGTGGTTATATACATGTATACATATATGTTATATAAAATAAAGATATGATTAAAAGTCGTGGAATTTATCGTCCCCCGACATTGGTGTATATTCGCGTAAGTTATAAAAGAACCAAAAAGGGTGAATGAGAAGAAAAGTGGGAGTTGGGTTGAGGAAATAGGAGGAGGGTGGGGGGTTGAGAGTGAGAGTTAAAGGTAGTACTGTTAAGGCCACCTTACCTCGCGGCCGTGTCGGCTAATTAAAGCGCATAAATTACGGAAACGTGGAAAGAGACTGACGAGAATGTGGCGGCAACGGGTAGGTAGGTAGGTAGGTAGGAAGGTAGGTAGGAGGGTTGGGGTGGGGGTGGTTGGTTTTGATCGTGCCCGTAGACGTGCCCAAGGGGATGTTGCGAGGGAATGTCGCGTGGGGGATGCAAGAAATGGTCGTACGGAATGCGAGGACGAAAAATATGTTGAGAGATGGGACGTCTTTCACTTTGGCCCGCGTCGTCATATTTTTTGCTTTTAGTAAAAGATTAAAAGGGACAAAAATCCTTAAAAAATGAACAGAAAAATTTCTCTCTCTTTTTTAATCCTTTTTTTTATTTTTTTTTGGTTTTGTCTTTAGTACAGTCGAATCTTTTATAACAGGGTTAAATACGTTCTCTGTTTAACGGAAATTATTTTCAGTCAAAAAATTATAATGTTATGAATAAATTCGTATTGTATCAGGATTAATACGAATTAATAAAAATTCGTCTGTTTAATTCGTATTTTTTACATTGTTTTATATTAAAAACGTGTTATATTTTAGGGATGATGAGTGTATTTTAATATCTGACTTATTTAGTTTGTGAACGTGTTCGAAATGAAAGAAAATCTCTCATATCTGACGAAAGAGAAAGAGAGAGAGAGAAAGAGAGGGCAAATTCGAATGAATATTCTGTACTGGTAGTGACCATGAGCTCGGTTATCAAGGACAGGAATTAGATTTGCGTTGACACTAGTGGACAGTGAAAAAGGAGGAGAATTCGTGCGAGCGATTGTATAACTTGGTCAATTTTATCGAGTTACTCAATTACCCGTTCTCACCCTCGACATATTCTGATCGTTCGGTGAAATCTTTCACGTAACAACCCACCCTACATTTATTTTCTATCTGTATTTTATAGTAAGGATATATTATGACGATTAACGCGTTGACGTTAATAATTTTGTCCTTTATTTTTCTGTTCTTTAATAAATATTCCATTGTTAATAAAAGAAATTAGAATGTATTAGATATTACGTTGGTTGTCAGGAAAAAAATAATTAAATAATTAATTATTATTAAAAAAAAAAATAAAAAAAGAAGAAGAATAAATATGCGTTAATATTTGCTTTTGTCAACGAGTCAAGGTACGATACAAAAATTGTTCTTTCTTTTTCATTTTTTTTTTTTAAGGATGAAATGTTTTGTTGCCGGTGTTATGCATTTAGCGAATTGTTACACTTCTCAAAGAGCAGAGAAAAAGAGAGAGAGAGAGAGAGAGAGAGAGACAGCAGTCACGAATGTGTGATTTTCATCCTTGACTTGTTTTGTTCTTTTTTTTTGTCTCCTTTCCCTTCTTTCTTTCCTTCCCTACCAATTCTTTTCCTATCTCTGTTTCTCCGTTGGTTCTTCCTCGCGTTGGAGCGGTTCGACAAGCGAGCTTTTACTATTTGCCGAGTCAACAGTCAGAACTGCAGTAGCAGCTTGGTAGGACGTCATAACAGCTATCTCTCCCTGCTTCCATTTCCGGCTATGTGCTGTCTCGTTGACAAGTATTGTGCTGTTTGCATAAAGCGATGAGGGACCCTCGAGGTAACGAGACTGGAGCAGGAATCGAGTTGCCAATGAAATTCTATTTTCTTTCTCTTTCTTTTTCTCTCTCACTTTTTCTTTTTCTTCATCGGCGGGTGTGGTAAACCGCATTTTATATGACGTATCAAGTCGTTCCCTTTTATCAGTCCCTTTGACCATATTAAAATGAAATCCTTGATAACGATCAAAAACAAAACAAAAAGAAAGAAAGAAAGAAGTATTAACCCTTTGTCTCCTAGGATCATCACATTACTACAGGCAAAAGTTTAGAATTCATTAGGTGAATACGAAGAAACGGGATAATTTTGTCTAAAAAAATAACTATATATTACTAGAGATGTTAGTTTTATATTAAAAAAGTTGATACTGTTGGAATAGATGTTTTCGGTGTTGTTTTCTGTGTTGTTTTCTGTGTGAAAAGGCGAATGGAGTAATCCGGCGGAGGGAGTAGTTTTTTGATTAGTAAAAGCCATCCTAATTTTGAGAAAGGTTAAGCAAAGTATGAAGAAAGTTTCTTGAAAGCAACAAGCGATACACCTTGGAGAGTTTCATCTTTTTCGAGTGTCATTAAAATTACTTCGTTAATTAAAAGTCGAATGGACGATTACGCGATGGAAGAAAATTTTATTAAAACATAGCGTTGCATTTTTATATATATATATAAATATTAAACCAGTTAAAATGTATAATAATGTATAATTATGACTAAGTAATATAAGAATTCACAAGAGGCTAATATGGTGAAAGTATTAAATTGATATTTATTTCATCCGTAGATTAAATCCGATAGAATAACACGGCTAACAGAACATTGGTTTACAAAGTATGGAAATAAATTAATGCGGATAATAATTACGTGCATTGTAGTTGAAAGAAAAGTAAACTTTAAAGACAAATCAATTGTACATTTTAATGGTATTATATATATATATATATA